GTTAGAGTTAGAACAAGATGTGTTTGTGAAACACTGATGCCCCCGTATGGCAGCTTATGGCGAAGGTTAAAGTTTCTTCAAATGCATGTCAAAATCCAGGCCAAAAGATAAAAAATGTTGATACCCAAAGAAAGGTCTTGTCTCGAGGAATACACCTGTGAAATTTGAAAGACCTAGATACAACTCTTCAAAAGTTATGGCGAAGGTTAAAGTTTTTAAAATAAAAGTCAAACGTCAAGGTCAAGGTCAAAGTGGTTGGTATCCAAAGGAAGATCTTGTCACAAGGATTACATATGTGAAGTATGGAAGCCCTAGCACCAACCATTCAAAAGTTATGGCCAAGGTTAAAGTTTTTCAAAAGTAGGTCAAACTCCTAGGTCAAGGTCAAAGGGTCAAAGTGGTTGGTATCCAAAGGAAGGTCTTGTCGCAAGGATTACATATGTGAAGTATGAAAGCCCTAGCTCCAACCATTCAAAAGTTATGGCCAAGGTTAAAATTTTTCAAAAGTAGGTCATACTCCTAGGTCAAGGTCAAAGGGTCAAAGTGGTCGATATCCAGAGGAAGGTCTTGTCACAAGGAATACATATGTGAAGTTTGAAACCCTATGCACCAACTGTTCAAAAGTTATGGCCAAGGATAAAGTTTTTCAAAAGTAGGTAAAACTCCAAGGTCAAGGTCAAAAGGTCAAAGTTGTTGGTATCCAAAGGAAGGCCTTGTCACAAAGAATACACATGTGAAGTTTGAAACCCCAAGCACCAACTGTTCAGAAGTTATGGCCAAGGTTAAAGTCTCATAAAAATTTGCAAAAGTGGGTCAAACTCCAAAGTCAAGGTCAAAAGGTCAAATATGATGGTACCCAAAGAAAGGTCTTGTCACAAGGAATACACATGTGAAATATGAAAGTCATAGCTCCAACCAATCAAAAGTTATGGGCAAGGTTAAAGTTGACAACAGACAGACAGACAAACAGACAAACAGACAGACAGGACAAAAACAATATACCCCCGGGATCTTTCGATCCAGGGGCATAAAAATACTTGAATATCTTAACAATAATACAGTTATTAAATCCCTAAAATATCTTTTACTTTAGAATTTAATCATATCAGATATGATAAAAAGAAGGCGCCATGCCTTATATCCACATTGGATAAACGACGCTCCCAAGACGGAAGACTCGGGTTGCGATGGTCACCATGCTCTTCGGAGCATATCACGTGACCGCCTGTATCACGTGATTCGCGCATGGGCAGAACTGTGGCAGATGTGCATCTAAATCGGAGAGGACTACTTTAAAAAATTTTGAACACTAAATCCTAATTTCATTTCTTTTATGGAAGTAATTCAATTAGTTCGCGAACTTTTTGATCACCCCTCGTAGCTCTATGATAGTGCTTCAAAATCATTATTATTCATAACAACATACGAACGTTTACATACTTATAATTTCAGTATCAGAATAATGCCCATTGTGATTATAATTTTTAATCATAAATTACTTGTCGCAACAAATAATGTCAGTAATCGTGCATTCCAAATTTATTCTAAAGAACCAAGTGACCATCAGTCTGGAAAATATAGCCATGGTGGACTAGGGGTTCGAGTTCTAAAATTCCAGCCGAGGGTGGAATAAATAAGGAACGATTTAACGTCGCTTTCTCGCCTCACTATTACTTACATCCACATGCTTCGGAAGCTGCTATTATGGCAACTGATTTTTTCGTATCTGCTAATAATACAGGTAAATTTGATCCTTTATTTGATGCGTCAGTCTTTTAAATTATCCTTTAAAAATTCCAGTATTTTACGTAAAAGGGACTTACGCCGATCACAGTTTATTCAAAATAAGACAACAAGTTAGCAAATGTAATCACTTTCGCATGCATGACGCGACGGACGACTTTGTTTATTGTGCACTGACAGCTTCATGTAAATCTACCGCATCGTGTTATATGAAAGAACTAAGGACATTTTTATGCATTTATTTCTAGATGCATACATTGATACAGTTTCATGGTGAATTAAATTACGTTTTCTCTATGTGCACAAGAATTTCATTCATTCCGAAGTGGCCAAACAACCTTTCCCCTAAGTCCTATCACACCAAAGTAGTTTTTACTTGAACATGTTAAAGTGATATGGTCAAACATAATTTAGCAATGACCTTGTCAGTTTGTAGTTTGACAGGGCCTGTTGACAAACAGACACAACCCGACTGTAATTCACCTTAAGTAGGTTCAAACCTAAATGCTTAGTAACAACCCCTGAATGCGTGTGCAACACGTTTCTAAATCGTTTTAAAAGTTCTCATAAAGTTGTAAATAAGTTGTAAATAGGTTCTGCACGTTTTGAGTTAATTCAAATTTGATTGATTGTTTGTTGTTTAACGTCCCATTCGAGAATTTTTCACTTATATAGGGACGTCACCGTATGACGGTGTAAGGCTTCAAATTTAGACCTATGGCACTTAGGGCCATTAAGCAGTGAGGGATCTTTTTCGTGCCAACGCCTTCCGTGACATGGGACCCCAGTTTTAATGGTCTCTTCCGAAAGACCCGCAACTTTCACTTCTAGTGCCAGGCGACCATAACAATTGAGTCACTGTCTAAGGTTTGACGCGCCTCGGCGAACGAGAATCGAACCCTGTCCTCCTGATCACCATGGCCCTACCATAGGCTACTGTGACCGGAGATTCGAATTTGAATATATGGACAAAAATCCATGTTTAGTGAAAGGGTTCCATGTCTACCATAGTCGCTTCGAAGGGATATATTCCGTTCACGATGAGATAAACGAGGGTTGTTCGGAAAGTTCGTGGACTTCTGTCATATCTTTTTTGCATATTATATCCAAACTTGGTAGAAATATTTTAACGATAAATTCAAATGATGTGTATTACTTTTTTTTAAATATCCTGATTTATTTTAAACTTATCCAGATTTACAAACTGCAAAAATCAGATCGCGGAACAGGTCAAAATTTAGAAATTTACAAACAATACACTTAGTAATGTGTAAACCTAAAGGGTTTAGAACAGACATTTTATTTGAACATCTTAAACTTGGATTATGTTAATATCATAATCATTTTATGAACTTATTTGTGACAATAAAATAAATGGTGACGTCTCTATATAAGTGAAACATTCTCGATTGGGACGTAAAACAACATACAATCAATCAATCAATCAATCAATAAAATCTCTACCACAAGCCGTTGTACGATTATAAAGGACGGAATAAGTAGTGCTGGAATCTTGATTGGTATGATGGGGGCTTTAGAGTAAAGTCTATTCGTTCATTGCTGTTTCGAGTAAGTCTTATAAGTGCATTAGCTTTTTCTTTTGTTAGGTAATTTGTTGTTCTTAACATTCTTCCCATTACATAGGCCATAGAATTGAGATCTAAATGTTACACTTCCTCGTGACTTCCTTTGAAAGGAATGCTTGTTCTGATCTAGGCTTGGTAAATCTGACGGGATTGACGTTTTCTTGCAAATTTTTCAACTTCGAAGGAAAAGCACAAGGGAAGGATATACCATAGCTTTTGCTATTGATACTACAAGCTCCATGTCAGATGACATCAAAGCAGTTATAGCTAATTCTGTTTAGATTGTGACAAGCTTGCAGGGATCCGATAACGAGCCAGTTAATTACCTTTTGACAACTTTTAACGACCCAGGTTTTTAATTTATGTGTCATTTACTAGACAGAGTTTCAAAGCAAAATATTAAAATGCTCAGCATATTCCATTCTAGATATTGTAGTTAATATTCGGATATTATCCTATGGTTATAAAGTCCGTACGAAAAAATACATTGTCAAGATGATCACTTAAGATTTTTTTTTCAGCAAGGGTAGGTATTCGATATGTTACATCAGATGGATATCAGATGTTTCGAAAACTGCAGGGATTACGTGTCTATGGTGGCGGTGATTGTCCAGAATATGCTTTATCAGGTACTCTCACAGGTACTGACTACCTTATGTAGAAAGTAAAACATGACATGCATTATTCAAACATTTCGGCACATAAACATGACAACTTGAAAAAATCCTAATTCTAAGGTTAGTTTCTATTTATTTCATTGCATCTGAATCTCAGTACTTGTTATGGAATAAAAGTAGGGGTTTTTTCGAATTCAGCAATTCTTGTCTTTACCCGGGTCCACAGTGTATGTGTTCACTGATGCTGATGCTAAGGACTACAGCGAAGCAAATCTTGTTATACGGGAGGCAAGAAAACGTGATATTTCCATAATTTTCTTGCTTACTGGTACCTGTAGCAACCGTATTAGGCGAAGAGGTTTGTATTTCTGTTTTTTTTATTATTATTTTATCAGCAACCACATATTGTCTGACCTTTTGTATGATGAAAAGTTATTTAAAAACAAATAAAAACAAATTCTATTCAATGAAAATGTCCAGTGAAGTTCAAAATGTTGAAGGAATGATTTTTTATATATTATCAACCATTTGTACTGTAGAAACAAAGAGATATAGACAAACCACCGTTAACAAGTTCTATCAGATAGCACAAAACACAGGGGGGTCTGTCCACGAAACAACCAAGGAGCACATTAGCGAAGTTATGGAAACAGCGATGGAGGTAAACAAGGCTAGATGCAAAGCAAAACGTTTTTATTTATTTTTTTTTTTTTTAGATATATCGTGTCTTAACATCGTTTTCTTTTATAGAAAACATTACCGTCTGCAGATGTAATAATTGAGCTGAAAACTTTGAGAAGTGGAAAAAACATTACTGTCGTCATAGACAATGAACCAAATATTGTGAAAATAGCTATGGAAGGAGGAACCAAAAATTTGATGAACTACATACAGCTGTGGAACCCAAACGGTTAGAAGTAAAATTCTCCTCAATAAAATAATTTTCTTTAAGTTGTGTTTTATATGTATTCATACTAATAATTATTTTTGGAATTGGAATTTCTCTTAATTTAAGGTCTAGCTCTCAAAAAGCGTTAAATGTTCAATTCATTTTAGGAACCCAGCTGTCATTCAGTGGAGATGTAACGTTTATGTATATGGCAACAATGAAGCTAAACATAATTACCATAAAGGTTATTGTTTATTTCTTAATTAATGAGCATTGTCGGAGAAAAGATTGATTAATTGTATGCTGTTTTTTGTTCGAGAATTTTCACTCATATAGAGACGTCACCATATACTGGTGAAGGGCTTCAATTTAAGACCTTTACTGGACACTCACTACTGGACACAGGCCATTGAGCAGTGAGGACTCTTTATCGTGTCAACGCTTGTCATGACACGGGGCCTTGGTTTTTTAGGTCTCATTCAAAATAACCACAACTTTAACTTCAAAGTTCCGAACACTTGGCGAAGAAACAGTTTCTTCCTATTTTTACCGCCTTAGGTCAGTGTCTGCCAGGGTTCGAATCCAAGACATTCCGATCACGGTGCAGGGATTCATTTTAATTCGATTGTACGGTTTAGGCTTACCTTGATATATATTATTTATACTTCTTGTATTTCAAGTTTTCAAGGATTAGAATAGTTATTCTTCACGGCAGAACTATTTGATGGAATTGATTTAAATGACTCGAATTAAGATTATTTTTTTCAAGTAGGAGATATCCAAGTGTCCACATTTTTATCGACTTTTCTGAATATTACTTTTCAAACTTTTAATGTTTTAACCCTTTAGAATCCTATACCTGGTAAATGGAATCTAAGACTCGTAGATACAGCGGATTATTACATCATCGTTAATGTTACAGCCCAAAGTGAACTTTTCTTTTCATCACATGTCATGGAAATGGCAGATGGATTGTTGACTGCAATGAGTGGAAACCCGATACAAGGTACATTTTTAAGACCTCAATTTTCCTCAGATAGAGGATGTTCTATAACTTTCTGAGTTCAAAAGTATAATTAAAAAATATCAAATGAAAAATCAAACTTTAGATTCAATATTGTTGCTTTTTGATTTTTGATATTTCCTTTTAATTAACGTTTAAATTAGACAATTCTTCTCTGCCCACTTTAATCATCCACATTACCAAGTTACCAGGAACCTCAAGTCAAAATTCATATTTAAACAGAAACAGCACATTTTAGTAAATATACAATCGATTTTATAAAACTAAGTAAATAAAACACGGACCCCCGGAAATACCAGAGGTGGAATCAGGTGCCTAGGAAGAGTAAGCGTCCCCTGTCGACCGGTCATGACTGCCGTGAACCCAAGTATTGATCTGGTCGACGGAACATTCCATAGTCAAATTTAGACTAAAAATCAAGGCTTTACAATTAGTATGAAACACTTCAGCCAATTAAAGTACGACACAGTGATAGGTCTTATTTGCTGAGAAAGTCCTTTTAACGACCATATAATTTACGAAATGGTGACTTCAGTCAATAATAAATTGTAATACAGCCTTGTATTCAGAGCTAATGTCGCAATAGGTTGGGGGTTGTTTTGGGGGTTAGAATTTTTTTTGTTAAGAGAGCATTTTTTTTTGGGGGGGGGGGGGTCATATCTTTTATGAAATGCCAGATAAAAATACAGGGTGTTTTAACAAATGCCTCAACTTTAGAGGTCAGCAATTTTGCACAATAAAAAAACATTAACAATTAGTTGCTTTCTATAGTGGTTTAAAAGAACTCTTTATGTATATAGTTAAGCTTTACTCTGCAAACTGAAAATCGTAATACTAGTAGAAGGGTTTTGAAGGAAAAGGGTATCAAGATAAAACGCATCTTTCAAGGAAATGATTTTTAAATTCAAGTCCAAATTAAAGCAATATGGGACTGAGAAACATGGCAGCCATTTGGAACACATTATAAAATGATTTAAATTTGATGTTAATGATTTTAAAATTTCTATCTTAAATTAAATATATATGATTCAGGGTTAGATTAATATAAATATTGATAAAATTGTATAGATATGTACTTTATATTTTTGCAAAACTTCCTTTCATAACACGGCCTAACCTTTTATTGAAGGCTTGTTTGCTGAAACGCCCTATACTTTAAAATAACCGAGTTATTTTCATGGAAGATGAATTGTTATGTGAATAAATAAAATATTATTAAATTCTTGCTGTACATTTTTTAAAATTGCAATAAAATTAGCAGCTTCATGGTAAAATTGAACTATGAACATCTATATTCTTCTGTATATTATGCTTATATTTCATTCAAACCACTTATCCACAGGAAACGAATATATCCTTATGACAACAGTATACAGTTTAGATAATGGAACTCTAGACCGAATAGGTGTGTTTGCTGTATCCTGAACTGTTTGAGTTACAGAATGACAATTCCTCTCTTCATTCTATGTATATGTCAAAACTAAAACTGAACACAACTGTGAGTATCTTCTCGAACTTTACATTTTTTTTTATTTTCAAAAATAAAAGTACAATAATCCAAATGCTAGTTGCGAAGAAAAATCCGTACTGAAATTTGAAGAATACTTGACAAACTTGAATAATAGTGCTTTCATTTTAGGCTTCAATGATAATGTTGGAAGGAAGAGACAGTCGCGGTTTCGAATTTAGAAGAGCACGCAATATATTTTTGGAACCTATGATGATTGATGAACTCTCTGTTGTACAATTGACCGGTTAGAATTTTCTACATTTTGAAATTGTGTTTAACGTAAGGAACACAAATATATATATATATATATATATATATATATATATATATATATATATATATATATATATATATATATATATATATATATATATATATATATATATATATATTGAATTATCGAACGTAAAATGAAAATCATTCAGAATATTTCATTTACAACAGAGGAAAAGAGATATGATGAGCCATTTAATGTGACATACACAATCGCAAACAAGGGCAATTCACCGATTCTCCTCACCATTTCATCTAATATTACCAACGGACATTTGTCGAAAGGAAAAGCATCCATTCCAGTTAACCTTTCTCCTGTCGATAATTTTACATCAAATTTTCTGGTGATGGGTCAGAAGTCTTTTCATTTACTGTAAGTTTATTTAACTCCACAAATTTTGTTTTTCTTTTCTAAAAATCATAAAGAGAAAATTATGAATCAAATTTGTGGTATTTTATTAAAAGGAAATACTCCATTGAAGTGATGACAAATGGAAATTCGAAAGTGTTACAAAGAAGTCAAAATACATTTATGGTAAGTAAATATTCAAAAAAGATGTTGAAATATTAAAAAGAAACAATTACGAAATAAATTTATTTTGTTTGGTATTTTTGTAGATTACCACGAAACAACACCCAGAATTCATTCAAATTAACAAATCCAGTGATTGTCCTCTTGCTTCTTTGAATACTGCAAATTGTTCTCTTTATCTATGGAAAGCAGAGGCCCTTCTGGAATTTTCTGATGTTAACGTCACAAACATTACATTGTCGTCCGCTGCAGTTTTATCCTACGTTATCAATGGTTCAACAATTGAGGTGTTTATTAAGTATGTAAAATCTATTTTATATAAATTAAACCTTTCTAAGAAAAAAAAATGAATTCGTTACCATTAGCAAACATGAAAGAAAAGTTCTACATTGTTTCACAAGGTAACATGAAGGATTTGAATACAAATGTCAAGATTTTAAATTTCCTTAGTAGTTTTTGAAATAGTTATGTTTTGGTAGCAAGATTGCTTTTGTAAATGTGAAAAAAAAGTATTTTCGTAATATAGAGGAGATTGCTGTGTTCCGTCAACAGAAATCCAAGTGTTTGACAGCGACTTTTATTCCGTTGTGAATTCAGTGGATTTTTCTGGAGGATACGCGGTCCAATCAATTCCAAGCAAGATTACTGACCAATACTAATAATCAACTTTCATATTAATGATTTCATTTTGTTTTTTGTCGGTAATATAATTCCAAAGGAGAATTTTTTATATTCATCTAAACGTTACCAATTGTATTCGGAAGTGAAAAAAATTGAATCCAAGCATGTTGATTTTTTGTCGTGCAAGAGATTACTTTGACAAGAGATGTGATTTTGGGTTTTTTTTCCTAAATGCTTAGGGACTTTTCCTTACCTATAATTAGGTCTTACATTAAACGACTCAATAACTTTTTTATAATCAGAAGTGACGCAATTATACTCAGAATTTTTGCTTGTGGTTTTCAAAGAGGTTAAATAAAAAATGAATTACTGGTTATTTATGACTTAGTTTTGCAGTTCAAAGTATTGAAAATGAAAACGAAGAAAAACAAAGTAGAGTATGACATTAGAACCCCTTAATTCCAAGAAAGGACATTTTAAAATCATGACTTAGATAAGGAATAACATATCTAATTTTAGACCATATCCTTCAATCATATCAAATGATGCATTTTCTAAATGCTAATTATATAATATTCAATAATTTGAGTAATGCACTTTTGTGAATAAATGACCTTTTCACACAATATGGGTCTTATGTCTATTTTACGCAAAACAAGCTCGGACTCTGGCTGTTTATAATGTTGAAGTACATTGGTTGGCATAAAATTGATTTTATGAACAATATAAAATAATTTATGACAACAAGATTATATATAGGAATTTTTTGTTGTTGTATTTTTGTCATATTTGTTTATTCAACTTAAGCATCTAGAGTTTACGCGTACTTAATTACCGGAAATAAAACATGACTCAATGCGAGTAAATTTTAGCTGTCAGCCGCAGTTAACTCTGCATCATTCTGCATACCTAGGAATGCGCGCTTTTAATTGGTTTTTTGTGGATGTCGCCCTGGGTTTTTCCAGGGGTCTGCGTCGTTCGCGGCATTCCTTGATTTGGCTGCTAGCTGCAAGGACGATTTAAATCCCACCCACTGACCTCCCTCATTTTCTGTCAGAAACTCTAGATGCTTTTGTTCTTAGGTGGTAACATTATTTATCCCCACCTTTGCGAATCTATGTCATTTATTCAATCATATCAAATGATGCATTTTCTAAATGCTAATTATATAATATTCAATAATTTGAGTAATGTACTTTTGTGAATAAATGACCTTTTCACACAATATGGGTCTTATGTCTATTTTACGCAAAACAAGCTCGGACTCTGGCTGTTTATAATGTTGAAGTACATTGGTTGGCATAATGGTTATTTATGACTTAGTTTTGCAGTTCAAAGTATTGAAAATGAAAACGAAGAAAAACAAAGTAGAGTATGACATTAGAACCCCTTAATTCCAAGAAAGGACATTTTAAAATCATGACTTAGATAAGGAATAACATATCTAATTTTAGACCATATCCTTTGCTAATGGGCGATCCTCATGAAAGAAAGTCATTCCGGGAATTCATTAATATTGTAGATTTACTACGTTAGAGAATTTTTTTTGAACAGCAATATAAGAAAACTGAAATAAATATGCTGATTTACACTCACTTTCGATAGCAAGCGTTATGGCACAGTCTATTTTAATGTTTGATTTATTGAAACCAGATACAAACTATGTGATTTACCAAATTTTATCTTTTATTTTAGAAGAAAACAAACGCTATGCTGCTGGTTATTGGAGGTTCAGTTGGTGGTCTAGTGCTGCTTTGTATCTTCGTCATTGCGAGAAGAAGAAACAAAACATAAGAAATAATGCTTTAAACAAAAGGCTTCTTAAAACTATCATTTACATCGATATAACATAATTTAGGGTAGTTATCCACTGCAATTATACACCGAGAAAATACTAAGATAATAAAGTTTTGCCATAACATTAATCTAACTTCAATTTTTCTTTGTAATCATGTAAAGCAGTCTTTAATAAAAATGCAATGCTACAAAATATGAAAGTTCTTTCTTTTCTTTTGTAGTTTTGTAGACATTAAATGCAAATTACTTTTTGAGATTAACGAGCATGGTAAAAGTAAATATGATCGAGAAGACAACGCGTTCTTTTTCTAACTTTCAATAGTTCTTTTGAAAAAATATTTTAACTACTTTAGAGAAGAACAGCTACTTACATAAAAATATATCCTTCTCAACGTTCCTATTTATAGTTTACTTCTGACGCCCTTTCTTTCAATCAATAAGGTTTATACATAGGAGGTTGTCTAACGTTCCCAGAAATGATGTTTATGTAAAAAAAAAATTCATAGAAACCCTGCTTAATTATAAATTAGTAAAGTCAATTTAGTCTAGAAAAATACTTTATAAATACTCCTCAAAAAGCTATTTTAAACTTTAAAATTCGTCTGAACGAATTTAATGCTCTTTTTTGAAAGAATTGTATTACTGCGGAAAACATGCAAACAGAGATATGATGAATTTTGATAATTTACCATAGTTCTTATATTTAATGCGACAAGACACGCTATGAACTTAAATTTTCAGGGAATATATACATTTTGAAATTGAGTTCCATTTCGGCTGGAAAGCTAGTGTGGAAGTGTAGAAACTGCAATGTGTTTGCAAAACGCTATTGTGTTTTTGAGTTATGACACTATGCCAAGTAAGTTGAAATTTATGGTGACACTAACATGCCAAAAGATATAAGCTGAGGATTAGGGATAACACCTACAATTTTTTGCTCTACATGTAATGACTGAACCACATGCCAAATTTCATATCCTTGTGCTAGATAATGGAAAACAAAAAATATGAAGCAGGAACAATTATAAAAATTAATTTACTGAACAAAAAGAAAACAGGGTAAAGCTGTGTGCCTCCACTCGTAACAAAGGAGACATATTTACTTTCTATGTTTCTAATATTGACAAAGTTACATGTAAGTTGGTCATTTTATACATTTAGTTGCTAAAGGGAAAGCCCTTTTTTAAAAAACCATGACAAAATCTCAAGGTTTTGAAAAAAGAGTTATCCAAACCAGGGGCAGTGAATAAGCATTTTATTATGCAGATTTATATATTTTTTGATGAGGGATGAATACTGGTAGAATATTTTATAAAATTTAGTATTGCTTAGCTATACGTGAAAATTTTCAGAATATGAAAAAAGCCTTTTTTTAAAAAAAATTTCTTAATAATTCTGTTTATTTTATACCTCGAAGTACAGCTTTGCTATATTTAAGTGAAAATTTTTAAATCATAAAAATAGTTATTGCACCTACTTTACACTTTATGTTGGAAAAAATAATAGAAAATTAATTAATTATTCACTTTTTTGATCTTGAATTGTTTTATTGCCAAAATATTTTTTTCAAGTGAATAGATAAGTTAAATTGAATGACAAATGAAATTACTCGAAAAAATTCTTTCATTGTTATTATTCAACATTTATATACATATTGCGCTTTATATAATTTTGAAAATTACTCTAAAGCACTTTACATAGATGCTTAACATAATGATAAATATGACACTTTTAAGAATTTGGTTTTTAAATAACATCAAGAGATTATAAAAACGATTTACAATTTTAAATATATAATATTAAGACAAGCTTTAATATCCCACAATGCTTTATGAACATGCAGTTAGCAATAAAGGTAACAACGGTAACCTTTAAAAAAGGATATATCTAGGATATTTATTCAGAAACATCAATGAACAAATGTTATTTTTTAGTGAATAGAATGTATATTCTCTCCATCAATTTTATTCTTCTTGTGCGCGATAATATACAATATCATACTTGGATCAAAATTTTCACCTTCAAATATTATGATTATGCTTGTTAAAAACACAACAAAGTACATAAATTATGAAACTGTAATTGTCTTCGACAATATTTTTTTTTCAATTCATTCTCGTTTTTTAAACTATTATGGTGACTAGAAAGATGACTGGGAATTTATTTACACATGAATTTCTTAATTTTTTTCCAAAACAATTTCTTTCCGTTAAAATTCGATGTCCACTCCACACTTTCAGCTTCTTTTAGCAACGTTTTCAGTGCTACTGTAAAATGTTTGGAATCAATGTTATCCAACAGAATCAGGAGAATGTTGTTTTTGTTACCGTCTGCTAATTTGTGATTGGCTATTACAGTTTCAAATTGGCACCATTGATCTTCCATAAAATTGTTTGTAAGAACTAGCAAAAGTTTTCGACTGGCCTCCATATTTTCCAATATATTATCCACATGAAAACCCACAGGCAAAAAATTTCGCTCATGCAGACAAAGCTTGTAATTTTCTTTTTTCTCTAAAACGTCCACTAGTTCAGACATTATCCACTTCCGGTCATGTGTATTGTAAGCAACAAACCCGTCGTATTCTTTTAGATCATGGTCATTCAATTTATGGTGTCCACTCCGTCGTCCATCTATGCAGTTATGCATGTGAAACAAAATATCCCACCTTAACTTTCGAAGAAGTACAAAAGTAAACAGAAAAATGAATACAAAGGATCCAATAGTTACGATGAAGATGAATATTCGATTCAGTTGATGACATTTCATTTTGAGATAATGTAGATTGCTTTTAATATGATGACCTTTCCACTCTTTTGGTGAATCACACTGATATGCATTAGGATTAAGGACCTTTTCTCTATGTGTGTCTGCCCAATGAATGAACCATTCAAGGTCACAGTCGCAAGCAAAAGGGTTGAAGGAAACGTCAATTGTAAAATTTGAATTCTTCCACATATCTTCTGTAAATGAATCTTCTCGGATAGATGTTAGCTGGTTTTTTCTGAGAATAATTCGATGTAAATTTGTATTGTTTATAAACAGATCTTTGTGAACATGGCGTATAAAATTGCCGTGTAAATTCAAAATTTGAAGTGATTTCAAATGTGATATGAATGGAACAAAATTTAATAAAGAATGGCGTAGTATTAGTTCCTTGATATGTATAAGAGGAGATAACATTTTTAAAAAGTCATCATCCTTAAAAACAGAAAAATCAAAAAGCGACATGTCTAATGTT